GTGGCAGCGGCTCCGCCACACGTGGGTTGGCTGCCTTCCCTCACCGATAAAAAGGGATTTTGTTTCAAGTATTTTTCTACTAAAACTGCAAGTGGCAACACTGAGTTTCTCAAAACACTCTCCTCTTTATTCGACAAGAAGTCAGGCTCAGCTCTGCTTTGATTTTATTCAAATGTTTCCCCCCTTCCTCGCCCAGTAGTGAAAAGCTCACTATTTTAATTAGACACGTACTGGTTTCCCCTGTCTTTCACACTGCCAATTTCTCACACTTTGAATCACAAATAACCTCAGGAACGTTACCTTACAATGTGCTCTTCTATGGCATTTACAGAGAAAGATTTGGATAGGCAAAGATCTGGAAACTTGTGACACTGAAGCACGCCTTCTGATGTTCCAGCTCCTCAAAATGTTAAACATTCACACTTAATTTGGTGCGACACGAAGTGCTTGAAAAGGTAACTTTTGTGGATATTATCTTTAAAAATTTCTTTATTGTTAAGAGCATCTACTGAGGTTTTTCATTCTCTACTTTCAGGCAGTTTTAAGATTACATATATATAGATATCGAATTTAATGTATCCTACCTGCAAACTATGAGAAAATTTTCATTATCCAGAAAGAAAACAGAAGTCATGTGTCATTCGGTCTTACTGCCCGAAACGCACCCTGGGAACCACTCCCACCGGCGGGAGCCTCTCCAAGGTGGATGCCGTCACCCTGTCGTATCCCCAACACCCAGCGTCTGGCGTGTGAGGCCACGTATTTGTGAATGGCTGAATGAAGAAGCCACGGAAGGGTCGGCAGACAGAGAGCCCAGGAACCGACACGTTTACCGACTCCAAATGTGGGCGAAAAAAGTAAGTCGCGTCACCGCGGTGAAGCCGCCGCAGGCCGGTGTGGGAAGTGTGACGGAGGACGGAGGGCAGGCGGCAGGCGCTGCGGCGCGGGTCCCCGGGGAGCTGGCCGCACTCCCGGGGCCGCCTCACTTTCCTCACAGGCGGAGCGATCCCAGCGGGCTGCAGAACCGCCGCAGTCGGTGGCAGATCCCTTCACTGTGTCCTCAGCGGAAGGGGCAGACGCTGGGCGTACTGATGGACAGAGGAAGGCTCTCGAAGAAAACTGCCCCGAGTTCAAATTTGGACCTCCACTTCCTACAGCGAAACTCTGAGCAACTGACTTCATTCCATAAGCTTTTTTAAATCTGCGAAGTGCTATACACGACCCACCTCATAAATTGCTGTTATGCAATTTTAATTATGAACTTATTCATCGAACACTTCTCATCAGTTGCCTCAAGTTTAGTAAAATCTGCCCAGCGCCATTCAAAAATTTTAAATTAACCCAAAATTTAAAACAAAGCCATATAAATGTGAAGGTTTACTATACTTAAGATTTTTATAAACTAGATTACTTTGTATTATCAGGAATATATTTGTAAAAAAAAATTCTGTTTATAAAGGTAGCCATGATCTTTGTAGAAAATTCATAGATAGAACAAAGATAAAAACTATTTATCTAATTTTCCAGAGATAATGACTTCAATAAATATTTTAGAATATGTATTTCCAGTTTTTTATTCTTAAGAATTGGGATCACAGTTAATCCACTTTGTGTCTTTATTATGAATATATTCCCAAACCATTATGTTAAACTTCTCTGACAGTGTCATTTTTAATGGATGCACAATGTTGATGTAAAACGAGTTACTTAGTCCTACTGTTGAATATTGGGTTATTTCAAATACTGCATGCCATAAATAAGAATGTGAATCACATCCGTGTATAAAAATCTTTGAGCAGATCTTGGATCACTTCCTCGGGATAAATTTTACAACGTGAAACAGCTGAGTCAAAATAAAAGCACATCTTGGTAACTTTCCTCCAACAGGCTGTCCATCTGTAGTTGTAAGTTGCTAACACCCAGTTCTCCTCAACAGTACCAGGTAATTTTGTTCGCACATAAATCTGGTTTGAGTCAGCAAGCAGCTTTGCGTCAGTCACGACAACTGACGCTGGGCCATGAACAAGACAGACAGGCTTTGCCCACTAGCATCTACACTCCAGCAGGAAAATATGCCACAAGCACTTGGGCATCACTGTAGGACAGAGAAGGGCAGAGAATGTGGGGACTACCCAGCACCCTGTGGACCTGGGATCCATGACGGCCGTCCTGAGGAAGGGCATTCCCAGTGTGACTTGACAGAAGGCGTGAAGCATAGTAGCCAGGGACAACCTTTTTTAAGTCTATGAGGTACCGTTATTACTAACTGGATGTTTCTAAGGTGCTTAAAAGATCTGTTCTATTAAGTCGTTTAAGCTGCAATTTTATGTATATTATAAATGTGTCCTTCAAACATTGAAAATGGAAAAAAAAAACAAACCCAAACATTAAGTGTGGCCAGAACCTCTGCTGAAAGGGAAGAGTGAGATGAAGCTGGAGGAGACGGATCACACCCACACACGCATGCACACACTTCCCTTCGCCCTGAGCTGGACAGGCGGTCGATCAGGGCTCTCAAGCAAGTGCATGTTAGAAACACAGTCTGGCCTGCGACGTGGAGATAAACGAGGGGCTACCGTGGACGCTGCCTGTTCTGGCTGCCCAATATCCAACACCCTCCTTATTATGGAAGAACCCCAAGACTGGAAGGATTCAGAACCCTATTTCCTACTGCAAAAGACAAAGGAGGCCCTCCCATAGATAAACCAGAGGCATGAGATCTACATTCTCACATTCGCTCCATAAATATTCATCTAGTGTGTACTGTGCTCCAGTCCCATGCGAGCAGCTGTGGACACAGCAACGAACAAGACAAAATCCCTGTGTAAGACCTGAATCTTTAAAGAGAGAGGAACAGGCTCAGGGTCCATCAGAAAAGGAGACACCTGGGGTGTGCATACATGTCAAAACGCATCAGACTGCATACTTTGTGTTTCTTTGTTCTGTCTATAAATTTTCTGCAAAGAACATGGCTACTTTTTAAATCAGAAAGCCCCACAGCAAACATCCCCTCTAGTCCTCTGGCACATTATCAGTTTTGTTCAGATTCTATTGTAAAAAGCATGCTCTGCCAGCTACAGCAGGAAGAGCTGACTGCTGGGTGGCAGCCAGTGGTGCCTGTTGTGTTAAGTCACCTGCCGGAGGTCACAGTAACAGTAAAGCTGGGACTGGACCCATCTGCCTCCAAAGCCTGTGTTCCTTTCACTAGGCCACACCCCCAAGTCACTGCTGCATTTCTGAGTGATTAAACCACTCACTGCAGCACTGCCCAGAGCACCCTCCTTCCTCAAGGTTCTCCCAGAGCCAGGGGCCCTAACAGAAGGACCGAGATTGAAAGAGCTGCCTGGGACGCTGGGTCGTGCCTCTGCACCCACCACAGCGCAACAAAACCCCTCCTACAGGTCAATGAAGCACCACGTGAGAACTACTGCCACTGAACACAGGAGAGGAAAATGCACGCATGCCTGCAAAAATTTATGCTTCACTTATCCAGAATTCGAGATAAGAATCCAATATAAATTTTTAAACTCACGAACTAAAGCTAAAACAATTTACTCACAGGAGGCTTCCTCATGCTCTGATTTACATCTACGGACGATTTTTCCATTCAGATCTAACGACCAGCTGCTAAGCCCACAGCAGAGAAAGGTATGGGAAGGGCACTTGAGGCAGGCGCTCTGACGACAGTAGGCATGGCTGACAACTGACCCGGGGAAAGGATAAAAAAAACCTAAAAGAAAAGCCAAAAAACATAAAAACTCCAAACAATAGGGAAACGCTGCGTAAACCTCTGCAGCCCTAACACTGTTTACATCACAACACAACAAATTATGTTTAAAATGTCCATTTGAGATCATTATAGAATGTTTATATCACATTCGGTACATTCTATTAAGAAAGCATGGAAATAATATATTTTGGAAAGATTTCCATCCTAAAAAAGAGATTTTAGTGCTTAATGGGCAAAAACCCCAAACTGAACTATCCAGAAGACTCTACTGTTCAAAAAGTTACTTTCCTATTGTCCTAGTTGGCAATGATTTCTACTTTGTGACTTTATGATAACCTACATAAATCTACAGTGAATTACTTAATTGGTATATAATACTCATGGGAATAGTCTCACCACTGAGCACTTTTATAAAACCTAGCATAATCACATGGATGTGTGCAGCTGGAGAGGTGTTGAAGGATATAATTTGGTCCATGTATAGTAAGTGGTCTTTAGTAAGAGCTGATGTAAATGGATTCCTCCTAAAAGTAATGTTTATTATAAAGAAAAGGACATGGCTCTTTTGGCTAGCGACGGACCTGATTACTGTCCAACTGACGACAAATCACTTAATTTCTTGTACATCACTGATTTCCTTATTTGCAAAAATAAGGTAATGATGATTTACCTTTCAATTTGGTGGATTTTACACTATTATGAAATAATTTACAATGACCTTATTTATATAACTAATTTACACCTTAAACATTTAAGGTTATTTAAAGAAAGGTTATTTAAATTAAGGTAAAACACCTTAAACGTTGAATATCTGAAGATTTTCCAACAGAACATCTTACAAACATGTCGAACAGCAAATTAAAATGTTTATATTTGTTATAAAGTGCTATAAAAATTCTAGCATAGGGTTGCCTCATTTTCAAACTCATAAAAGAATGCAATTCATTTCTCTGCATTTCCAGTGTACAACCTTTGTTTCCATGGAGAAAACAGTTGCTTTTATGATTTCAATTAAGAGGACTTTCTTTCTGACCACTAACCTTTCCCCAAAGGAGGTGGGGCAAGCCAGCAGTGAGATAAAGAACAATGCAGGCTTTGTTGCAAAGTGACTACTGCCTTGCATTTCAGATCTCTGGCATCTCTCTCCCTAACTGCAGAGCAAACTAAAGCCAGGTTACAGCAGGAACCAGACAGCTCCATTCATTCATTCCTTCTCCAAGCCTCAGCAACAGGCACACACAAGGAGTAGGAGGTGGGGAGGGGGAAGTCTGAAGGAAAAGATCACAAATACCAAAACACCAGGATACAAAAACGGCCAGTTCCGTAGGAATATAAGTTGTGTAGGAGCTGAAACTTATGTGATTTGGGGTCACTCTTTTACAAAAAAAAAAAAATAATACAAAATACAAAAGACCACTGAGGTCCTTCCCTATGCCTTGGAAGAGGCCTGTGAAAGCGAGGAACCCTGAAGCCTGAACTTCATTTGCCTTACAGTAATTCTGCCCCATAAATGACACCCAGAATCCAGGCTCAGGGGTGGGGTAGAACCTCAGAATACTAAAAACCACAAGTGACTTCAGGGTCACCTACTGCAGTCTTCTCAGTTTACAGATGAGAAAAGAGCCGGCCAGAGACTTCCCTATGTCTGGGAAATTAAGTGGTTAGAAATGACACAAAGAAACGGGGAAGTGAAGTGGTCAAGCGGTGGGTATGGAGAGGTTAGCACTGAGGGCCTTGACACTGCCACGGCGCTGTCAGTGCTTTTCAGGAAGACGACGTGTAAGGAAAGCAAAACCGAAGTTCTGAGACA